CCCCCTCCCTGCCCTGCCCTTTGGATCCCCACCACAGGCAGGACACAGCCCCAGGCACAGCAGGCACCTGGCCTGGCTCACCTGGCGATGCCGCCGTAGTCCAGGCCCTCCTCTCCTCGCATGATGATGTACAGGCGGCGGCGCAAGTCGTATGGCTTCATGTTCATGATCTGGGCAGAAGAAAGGGGAAGAGTCACTGTGAGCTGGCATGGGGGCTGGCTCCATCCTTACCTGGGCTCTGCAGCCCTGGCCCCTCCTCACCTGCTGGAAGGAGTCCTCAAAGAGTGTCTGTCGGGAAACACTGATTTTCACATGGCTGGGCAACGCGTTTGACTGCAAGCAAGGCAGAGACACAAGGCTTTGTACAGGCTGGCATGGCAGCTCTCCTGGCCTGAGCCCACTCACAGGGCCCGGCCACCCACACACCCACCTGTTCTTGCCGGCGTACTCAAAGAGGCAGTACATGGGGTTCAGCACCTCATGGGACAGGAGGAAGAACCACTCCCTGGGGCAACAGGAAAGGGAAGCACGGTGAAAAGTGGCTCAAGAAGGGGAGGGGACAGCCACGTGCCTCCACAGCAGACCACATGCAAACCAGGCATCCATGTCCTTGGGGTGCTGGTGCAAGGGCTAGGCCCTGGTGTGACTGGGCAAGGGCGTCCCCCTCCCCAGGGGTGCTGTGGGTGGTTTTGAAGGGATTCTGGAGACAGCAGCAAGAAACACCCTGGGTTGATGGAGGCCCCACTTAGGGCGCGGGGGATCCCAGCAGGCACCTCACAGCTCAGTCCCACCCAGGCTGTCATATCCATACACACATACACATGCATGCAGGATGGGCACCATCCTGATCTTCCCCCCCAGGCTGTGCAGGGAGATGGGAGTCCTTGGACGCAGAGGCAGCCCCGGCATCCCGTCCGTGGTTCTACCCTGTGGTAGAACAGCATGACGTAACCTACCATAGGGTAAAACCACTGGCAGGACACAGAGAGAGGAGGAGAGAAGGAGCCCCTGCACCAGAGCCAGGGGCAGCAGCACCATGGAGGAGGAGAAGGTCAGAGTGGTGTTAGCCCAGCACCAAGGCAGTCACCTTGAGTGAGCCAGCAGGGGCTGGTGGGGACATAGGGCCCTGCTCCAGGCAGGACACAGCCCATGTTGTACAGTAACACCATCCTCAGGGGAGGCTGCAGGCTCAGAGCAACTGCATCCCACCACATCTGCCCTGGCACACACTGACTGCCCTGAGAAAACAAGGGTCTGTTTGCTGCAGGGAGAAGGGGCTGCTCCACCCATTGCCCCCACACCCCAGGGGCTGCAGACAGGCATTGGCACTCAGTGCTGGGGGCTTCAGGGGAGCCCCAGCCAGGCCCCCCAGCCCTCTCTGTGCCAGCCACAGGCTGCTGTAATGATTTTAGGGCACTCCCCCACTCCAGACAACCCAGGGGCAGCTGCTGGACAGACTCTGCTGCCTGCACTGCCCTTTGGATTCCCACCACAGGCAGGACACAGCCCCAGGCACAGCAGGCACCTGGCCTGGCTCACCTGGCGATGCCGCCGTAGTCCAGGCCCTCCTCTCCTCGCATGATGATGTACAGGCGGCGGCGCAAGTCGTATGGCTTCATGTTCATGATCTGGGCAGAAGAAAGGGGAAGAGTCACTGTGAGCTGGCATGGGGGCTGGCTCCATCCTTACCTGGGCTCTGCAGCCCTGGCCCCTCCTCACCTGCTGGAAGGAGTCCTCAAAGAGTGTCTGTCGGGAAACACTGATTTTCACATGGCTGGGCAACGCGTTTGACTGCAAGCAAGGCAGAGACACAAGGCTTTGTACAGGCTGGCATGGCAGCTCTCCTGGCCTGAGCCCACTCACAGGGCCCGGCCACCCACACACCCACCCAGCCCAGCAGCCCCCAGGGCCCTCCAGCCACTGTACTCACATGGCAGAGGAATCGGAACTGGTGGTACTTCCAGCGAAAGCTCCGGTCATAGGCCCCCGGGGAGCCACCCTGCTTACTCCTGCAAAAGCAGCACAGGCCTCAGCTCAGCATCCCCCCTGCCCTGGCATGAGCTGCTTGGCCCCAGCAACCCCATCGCCTGCCAGGCAGGAGGAAGAAAAATTCCTTCCCCAAAAGGGCTGTCAGGCCCAGCACAGGCTGCCCAGGGCAGCGGTGAAGTCACCAACCCCAGAGAGATTTAAAAGCCATGTAGATGTGGTGCTGAGGGACCTCGGTTACTAGTGGACTTGGCAGTGCTGGGGTAATGGTTGGACTTCATGATCCTTAAAGGTGTTTTCCAACCAAAATAATTTGATTCTATTCTGAGATCTCTAGGCCAAATGTGAGTCCCTAAACCCACTATTCAGCATCTTTGCAACAAAGCTGACCCACTTCCCCGCTCCATGCTATAGCTACAGGAAGGCAGGAGCTGTGAACCAGCAGCTCAAGTCCCAGCTCCACAGCCTGGCCGCGGGGCGAGGGGCTCAGCCCAAAAGCACTTACCCAGACTCAAAGCCCGGGCGTGGGTCCTTGAAGGTGGTGGTGCGAGTGTTGTGGTCCACAAAGTAGCGCACGCCCTCGTTCGTGTACTTCATCTCCCAGCCGGGCGGCAGCGGCGGCTCCTGGATCATCCTGCTGACAAGGATGGGGTCACTGGGCAGGCTTCGAACCGTGGCCTTCTGAACAGCTGCCCTGGGGGACCACCTCCAAGCTGTGGCTCCATGCCAGGCAAAAGGAAGGATTTCTGGCATGGGACTAGCAAGCACCAGCCTCTGTCCCAGGACAGGAGCCCTGCCTGTGCTGCACACTTGACCACACCCCAGACCAGCCACTGCTCTACTGTCTGTCTGTGGGAGAGGGAGTCTCAAGGGAAAGCCAGGCCAAGTCTTTAGGGAGCCAAAACCAGGTCTCTAGGAGGCTAAGCAGAGCCCTGGGGGAAGGTGACAGGGTAAGAGAAATGCCATTATTTCTGTCCAGACAGCCCTGTGGTCTTCCCCAATGCCAGTTCTCAGTCCCAGGGACTCCCTCTCAGGTCCCGCAAGCCAGAGAGCAGCCCTGCAATGCCAGGGTCACAGTGCCCAGCCCTCCTGGGCTCCAGTGCTGCTCCAGCTCTCACTGCTCTCAGCTCCCCAGTGCTGCAGTTTGCAGGACTGTCTGGGGCTCAGCCCAGCTCTCAGCACTCAGGAGCCCATCACACGGACCTGCTGAAACCACAAGCATCCCCTCTCTCTCCCCATGGGTTGCCTACCCCTGCGTGCGAGGGTCTTCCCACTGGGTGGTCCGTGTGTTGTGGTTCACGTAATAGACTCGCCCATTGTCCTGTCTCTTCTCTAGGAGAAAAAGAAGGAGCATTACCTGGAGCGCCCTGGCCAGTGCTGACCTGGGACCAGCCCTCCCCTTCCCAGCTCATGAGAAATTTGTTGGCTCCCCATGTCCCACCTTTCCAGCAGCGCTGCCCTGACTCATTTGGAAAAGGTAGGATAAAAAAAATCCCTGTGTTTCTTCTGCGTGCACAGGCAGGCTTTCTGTGGTGCCCCCAAGGTCAGTGTGCCTGGAGGTGTCACAGCCAGATTTGACCTTGCCAAGCTGGCACAAGAGTCACACACTGGTTGCACAGGAGCCCCCAAGCACACACTCCCCACAGGCACCTCCCTGGGCACTCCCTCCCCAGCACATGCTCCCGACACTATTTGCATGCTCAGAACATCGATTACTTCCTGGCCCAGGGTGGTCCTGCCCCCACTGCCCCCAGGCACCTGCACCCACCCCACACACCCACACTGGCTGCCTGCCCCCCAACACATATGCCCCACACGCCTCCTCTCTCCATGCGCCTGCGTCCCAGCTGGCGCGCAGGGCCCCGCTCGGTGCTCCATGCCGACAGGGACGCCCGGCACGCACACGCCCGGCTCCCTTTGCTGTGTCTCACTCCCAGTCCCCACACCATGACTCTTGCAGAACTCCACAATGACCAAGACTGCATCCATCCTAGGGACCCCCACCCCACACAGAGCTGTGCCTCCCCTCAGTCTGCCCAGCTAACGCTGGGGACAGGGCCCCTTTTCACACTGAGGCAGGAGGTGGGTCTCCAGCAAGGGCTTCAGCACTGTCCCCATGCAAGACCCTGCCCTTGGAGACCCGCTTAGCAGCCTGGGCCCCCACTGTCCCGCTATGAGGTCCTGCAGCTTTAACCCCTCTCCTTCCATCCTGGCATAGCACTGCCCATATGCACCCAGGAGCACCCCATCCCCAAGGAAGCTCTCGACATGGAGGGGTTCTCTCTGCCCTGAGGGTTGCACAGGGACCTTTCAAAACATCCAAGCACACAATGCCTGGGCCACAGGGGCAGGACAGCCAGCTCTGCTCCTGCTGGCTCCCAGCCCTGCTGCGGGCCAGGACGGAGCATCCCAGGAGAGAGGCACAGCACCAGGATGGATCCCTGCTCTGAGGAGAGGTCTGAGAACAAGCAAAGAGTTGGATCCCCATCCTCTCCCCCCATCCAAAGAACAACCACAAGCACTTTTGAATTCAGTAGCTGAGAAAGACTGGGAACTCCTCCAGGAAAAGGGGAAAAAAGGAAAAAAAGCTGGATTTCAAATCAGACATCATGCTAATCATAGGCAGATTCAGCCCCCCAGTGCAGCAGAGCATGGGCAAAGCTGGTTCCCCAGCCATTAATTCCAGAGTCAGGATCGAAGGAGCTGCTCATGGCACTGTGCTCCCCATGGGGCAGGCAGAGTCCCACTCGGGGTGCCAGAGGAGCGTCCCCAGGTGAGGCAGCTCAGTACTTACCCCAGCCGGGAGGAAGGGGACCCAGAGGATCATTGTCGGACGGGGCGCCGGATGACTAGAGACAACAGAGAGGGCAAAAACACAAAATAAAAACCAGGGCAGGGACACTCGGGAGGAGCAGAGCACAGAGGTGAGTCTGCAGCCCCTGCTCCCACTCGCTCCCCCTTGGCTCACAGCTCCCAGAGAACTGAAGAAAAACAAACACTTGCACACTCAAGGGAGGTTAAAAAAAAAAAAAAAAAAGTGAAGGAGAATTTAAAATAAGTAATGTTAATTAGTATTGGTCATGCAATAAAAAGTCTTGTACTTTTAGACATTTTAAAATTGTCTACAAATTGTAGTCTATTCAAACAGAATAGATAAATCTCTCTGTGAATGAATTGTAGTATAATTGATTTACATCTCCAAATCAATTTTTTCGGGCCAGCACGGCGGGGTCCAGATGTGCCCGGCTGCTCGGCTGCTGCTGGCCGTCCCCACCAGATACACCTACAGCCTCCTCCAAGAACCACACACAAGAGGGGAAAAAATATCGCAGGCCTTTCCAATGAAATCATTCCCACAAGCCCTGTCCACGCCCAGCGCTTCCTGGCGGGCCCCCCTCCTCCCGGGCAGGGCCGGGGTGCTAGCACTGAGCCCACATTCATCCCCGCAGACGGGCGGCTCCGTGCCCCACAGCCCCCCCGGCAGGTTGGGGGGCCCGGCACAAAGCACCTTTCTTCTTCCCCGGGGCGGGCAGAGCCGGCAGCCCTCACCCAGCCTGAGCAGGGGGATGCTCTGGGATGGGGGAAGCAGGGCCCTGCTGCCCCCGGGTGGGTGAGCCCCCCAGCTCCGGCTTCGCTGGAGGTCCCGGGGGATGGAGGCACAGGTCGGGGATTCAGGGAGGAGGCAGCCTGCCAGTGCTTTTAGTGGTTAAATAAGAAACACATTGTTACAGAAGAGGCGTTTTCATCGCACCTCCTGACACCCGGCTGCTGGAGGGGGCTGGGGTTCAGCATCCCGGTCTTCCATAAGAGGATGGGGACAGCAATCAGCCTGGGCTCAGGAAATGCCACCCGCAGTCAGGCTTGTCCCTCCTACCCGGGGAGACAGGAGGCAGCCCCAGGCTCACACTGGTGCGTGCCAGGGCCCCCACCCTGAGAGAGACACCAGCACCCTGGATGCCCCATGGCAGCCCAGCACCCCAGGGATGTCCTGGGGCACATCAGGAACAGGCTGGACACAGTCTGTGCCTCTCCAAGCTTTGTGTTTTCCATCTGACCCCAAGGGCCAGGACTGGGGTGCAGGAGGCTCTGCCTGATGTGCCTCAGGCCTGGGGCACTCTGCTCCCTCCCTGCCCAGACAGGCTGGCCAGGGACAGAGCCGAGTCGTACCAAGAGGCATCATCTCACTGGGACCTAATTTAAACTAACAGGGCAGAGACCAGAGCCTGAGCCAGAGCTTGGGGGAGCCAGGCTTCCTGCAGCTCTCCAGAGACCCTGGAAACAACCCAGCCCCTCGTGCTATCAAGGCTCCTCACTGGAAGGGATGCTGAGTATGGCACAGCCCGAGCCCTGTGGCACTGAGGTGACTTCTGGCAGTGGTTCCTGGCTGCACCCTGACCCCCCAGCCATGGCCTTCCCCAGGGGCTGCTCATTCTCCAGGAAGAGGAGAGGTGGATGCTGAAGACAGGAGGACAAGACAAAGCAGAAAGTCTCTGCATGGAAGAAGGCAGAGCAGGAGCCATCAGTGCTGGCAGCAGACAGCTTAAAACAAAAAGTACAATCGTTTAATCGGGCTAAATTTGGAGCACGAGTCCCTCCCTCTGCGCTGGCGGAGCCCGGCCAGGGCGAGCTGCCCAGCACTGGAGAGGCTCCAGGGCTGGTGCTGGTGGAGACACAAGCGAGGGACAGGCCCCGAGCCCTGACTGGCCTCCCCTGGAAGCCCTATCCCGGCTCCCGTCTGCTGAGGAGCACAGGCAGCGGGCAGCAGAGCCATGGCATGGTCCAGCTCCCACTGCAAGGCTTGGAAGGGCTGGAGAGATGTCCGAGGTGATGGGCAAGGGGAAAAGAGGGGCAGAGCAGCTTCCCACACCCCTGGCTGTGTCTCAGACTCTGCCAGCACCCCCTCCCAGAAAGCACCCAAGCTCCTCGCTGGAGCACAGGCCTTGCATCCACACCAGGCTCCTGGCTTCCTCAAAGATGAGCTGATCATGGACAGGAACCTGGTCAGCCTGCTCTGCCCACTTTCCCTCCACACCTGCCCCATCAGAGCTGCCTTTACGCCCCATCACAGTTACTTCCACAGGGTTTTCTGCACACAGCAGGGCAGCTCATGTGCTCTCCTGTCTGAGTGCTGCTCTGCCAAGCCAACAGACTCCAGAGCACATCCCCACACTGGGGGTCTCCCAGATCAGTCCCAGTGAGGCCGGCAGAACAGTGGGGTGAGATCCCCACCACCATGCTCCCCAGCTCTCACCTGGTACAGGAATCTTTGGCTGAACTGCTGCATGGCCCCTTGGAGCTGGTTTCGCTGGGACTGCCACTGCTCGTAGTTCCTGACGTACTCGGCCGTGGGGCGCTGCCACGTGGTGGTCCGGGTGTTGTGGTCCACGTAGTAATACCTGCCTCGAGGATCCACACGCTTCTCCCACCTGGGAACACCAGAGGAAGATGTCACTGTCTGTCCTTGGACAGCTCAGAGCTGGTGCCTCCAGCTGCCGTGCAGCAACACAACAGTAATGCTGCTGTAAAGGCAGCAGGAAAAAACCGTGAAGAGGTTGGCAGGCACAGCAGAAGGCACAGACCATGGTCCTACACCAAAGAATCTCCCATTGCCCTCATCTGAGGGCTGTCCCCAGGGCCCTGGACATGCAGCAGTGGCTTGAGAATATCCACCTGCTGCCCCAGAAGGTGTTGAAAACATGACAGAGGAGTACCAGGCTGTTAGTCCCTTCCCCAGCTGCCACACTTCTCTCCTGCTCCCCGTGCAGCAGCTCAGCAGATTTGAGGTCAAGTTCTGCTTCTGGGAAGAGCAGGTGAGAAAAGCAGCTCATAGTCCTGTGAGGGAGGAAGAGAGGTCTCCCAGATCAGTCCCAGTGAGGCCGGCAGAACAGTGGGGTGAGATCCCCACCACCATGCTCCCCAGCTCTCACCTGGTACAGGAATCTTTGGCTGAACTGCTGCATGGCCCCTTGGAGCTGGTTTCGCTGGGACTGCCACTGCTCGTAGTTCCTGACGTACTCGGCCGTGGGGCGCTGCCACGTGGTGGTCCGGGTGTTGTGGTCCACGTAGTAATACCTGCCTCGAGGATCCACACGCTTCTCCCACCTGGGAACACCAGAGGAAGATGTCACTGTCTGTCCTTGGACAGCTCAGAGCTGGTGCCTCCAGCTGCCGTGCAGCAACACAACAGTAATGCTGCTGTAAAGGCAGCAGGAAAAAACCGTGAAGAGGTTGGCAGGCACAGCAGAAGGCACAGACCATGGTCCTACACCAAAGAATCTCCCATTGCCCTCATCTGAGGGCTGTCCCCAGGGCCCTGGACATGCAGCAGTGGCTTGAGAATATCCACCTGCTGCCCCAGAAGGTGTTGAAAACATGACAGAGGAGTACCAGGCTGTTAGTCCCTTCCCCAGCTGCCACACTTCTCTCCTGCTCCCCGTGCAGCAGCTCAGCAGATTTGAGGTCAAGTTCTGCTTCTGGGAAGAGCAGGTGAGAAAAGCAGCTCATAGTCCTGTGAGGGAGGAAGAGATTAGGGTTGCTGGGGCCCAAGGCCCCAGCTAGAGAGACTGAGTTTTCATTTCACTCTGACACTAAAGGCTGACTTTAGACACCTGGTCTCTGACTCCTCTCACACAACTAAGATACCCTTTTAAGACAAGGGCTCTGTTCCCAGCTCTGGCATAACCACCAGTTTCACAGCTGAAGGGGCTCTTTTGGACAAAGATCCACCAGAAGGAAATACAGAAGACCAGCAACACTTGAAGCAGCCCCCTGCAAGGGCACACAAAGCCTCAACAGGACCCCTAGGCATTAGCACAGTTCACACCAGGATGCTGTAAGCATTCCTCCAAGACAGCTGATGTCCAGTGGAAGCAAGGCACCGGGTCAGAGACCTGTGCAGGAGGGAAGGAGCACACCTGGGGTCTCCCAGACCTACCTTCCCAGGTAACAGCCTCACTTCTAACACCAGAGAGATTTCAAGCTGCTGTAGGATCAGAAACCCGCTGCAGAGATCGCAGCTCAGATGAAGGTTGTTGTGCCCACGGGAACCTGGAGGCTCCCGCGCAGGAAAACAGGACAGGCTCGTATTGCACTTTCACACCTTGCACTGGTGGTTAGAGCACACTCCAGTCATTCCAGCCTTGAACAAACTCAGGCTAGAGAACAACAGTTTGGCTGTATCAAGTTCTCTGCTTTCAGGAGCACGAAGAGGTGAGAATTCAACAAGCTTCTGGAAAGCACATGGTCCCCAGGGCTGTGTACAGCCTTTACAACCTGAAGACTATTTACTCCTGCAAATGAAAGGGTGGCCCTCCTGGACACCAGTTAGGCAGAATGCTTCCTGCAGGTCTCGTGGAGCTGAGCAGCATTGTCTTCTAGACCACAAGCAGCCCCAAACATGGCTGAGAACAAAAGAGGCCCCTCTGAGAGAGTCCAGGGTCCAGCTCCAGGTTTGGGGCACATCAACTGTGCCTGTTCCTGCTCACCAGGAGCTCGGGTCTCATCTAGGAGCATGTTTTTCCAGGTGACAGGAGACCAACCCTCTCCATTCTCCTGGTGCTTGGGGAATTTTGCTGGCACCTTGTCCCAAAGGCCCAGCCCTCTGCTCTGCCCACAAGTGGTTGTGCTGTTGCTCAAGTGTTCAGTGAGTTCTGTGGAATGTTTGAAAAAACAATCCTCTAACAGAGGGCAAAACAGAACCAACTGAGAAGACCTTTCTGAAGATACAGGGAGTGCTTCCAGGTCAGTGAATGCTTAGTTATCTCACCCCATTTCTTTTTAGGAATTAAAAGACCTTCCTGCTACCAAACCCACTTCTCTCCTTTTGGGCAGACTGCTGCATCTGCTATGAGTCAGCCCAGTACCTGAGATTCCAGCTGCCCCCACAGCCACTTACCCTGGAGGAAGAGGTCTCTCCCATGTGGTGGTCTTGTTGTTGTGGTCTACATAGTAGACTCTACCATTAGGCAGCTCTCGCTGTTCCCACCTGGGAAAAAAAAAAACAACAAAAAACTCATGAGACACCTTGCTAGCAGAGCCTGGGCCCTGGATGAGATGAAGCTGCCAAAACAAACTGTGCTCTGTGGTGCCAGCCAGAGCGACTGCATCCTGCTGCAGAGCTCCCCAGTGCCTGTCCCCACTGCTCCAGGGCCAGCTGGGAGAACTGCACCCCACGGGAGAGGACACAAAGGAGACCCGAGGCAGACAAGACTGCACCGGTCCCCTCCTCAGACACAGTGGGGAAAGGAAGGGGCTCAACTGGAACCAGTAACGTGGCTCCAGCAGCCTCAGCTCCTGCCTTGCTGAGCTTTGCTACACGCTGGGCCAAGAGACTTCACAGGCACCTTCACCTTCTATAAATGGTGCCCAAACAGCCTCCCCTAGGAAAACTGTTTGCATGTGTGCTCAGGCTGCAGCTGTGCAGCCCAGCCTCGCACAGCTCAGTGAGCCATGAAGAATTAATAATCACCTTATTACCAAGAAGGTCCAGAGAGCTGCAGCTGGTGGATTAGCCAGCCTGCCCCCTCACATTGCGTAGCTACAGCACCCTAACCTTTATTCAGAATAAAAAATGGCAGGTCTGCATGGCAGTTGTTGACTTATGAGATTGAGTCTATCAGAGAGGTGCTGCAGCAGTTGGCTTTCTGAAAACAGGCATAATCTGGAGCATAAATTCCTAATTTCCTCCAGAAAGTTGGAGGGTTGGCATAAGATTTCACACAGGGTCACTTTTATGTCCTGTGAGTTTCTGATGTAGTTTTTGTTTGGTTTCTCTTCATACAGCTTAAAAGGGGAGCCTTTGAGTTAGGGCTGGGGCTGTACTCGCTCCTTGGCAGCCCTCCTGCTCGCTGCTGAGAGACACCACTTCAAACCATCCCATGGCCACCAGGCACCTGGCTCAGGGGTGGCCCCTGAGGGGAGCGGGTGCAACAGGGAGGCCTGGCTCCAGGCAGCTACACCGAAAACCATCCTGTGCCTTAGTTCATTCATGAAAGTGCATGCCCTGGCAAAGGTAAAAGCTCTATGGAGCACCATGCTCTCCTGTCAGCTTTTATTCTGGGGTAGAGAGAGGCAAGCTGGCAGCTGCTGACAGATAAAGTGTTCTCCTGCCACACTGCTGCTCCCACAGGTCTCCCTCCTGATTCAATCTTCAGTCTCAATTAATCATCACAAAAAGCCCTCAGAAATTAATATACTGACTTCTGTTGTGACAGCAAGAGAACAAATCTGGGCTTGCAGAAAGCAAGCAGCCCTTAGGAAGCAGATGCTCCAAGTGCTAATGCCCCATTGCCTGGGCTTACACTGTCCCTGCTCACCCTAAAACCTTCCCAGGGGATGATGAAGCCACCAAATGGTGGCCTGAGCAACAACCCCACACATGCTGCAAACACAGGTTGTGTGGTTCACAGCCTTGACACTGCTCTTGAAAAAGGGGAGAAGGCAACAGACAGGGAGAGCTCCAGCCACATTTCCAAACCCCAGCATCATGCCATCAGCCAGGGACTCCAACAGCCCCACAGTCTTGCAGGCAGCCTGAGAAACCTCTGCCCTGGGCAGAAAGCAGTCTTGTTCTCTAAGATAAGAGGGCTGGTTCCCAAAAGCAGGAGGGGAACTGCCTCTCTCTGTGAACAGTGAATCACCACCATTACACAAAAAGCTGTGACAAACCTCTTACTGCTAAAACACAGCAATGGCCTCAGAAACAGGAACACTGGGGACAACCTGGCCTTGCTCAGGCCACCAGCTCTTTGCAAGCTTCCCTGCATCCCACCCACCATGCCACAAGGGACACAACAGCTCTGGGGGGACACATTCAACAGGCTCTTCTGGGGACCCTCAGTCCAGCCAGAGTTCTCCCCAGTGCCTGCTGCCACACTCCCACCAGCAAGGATGAGCAGCAGCTTAGCGAGTGCTGGATGGTGGCAGCCCCCACCCACGTGTGCTGCAGCTGCAAGCACAATGGCTGGTGACAGCAGGGACACAGGGAGCCCCGGACCGGGCAAAGTGGCAGCATGGAGCCCGCCCTGCAGTCCAAACAAACGCCCACCTGACGTAAGAAACCACAGCCCCTGCCTGCAGCCAGGCAGCACAATGTGCCTCTGTGTAGGGGTGAGACAGCTCTGCGCTCCCGTCCCAACCGCGTCTGTCCCCACAAAGGGCCACCACCGACAGGAACGGGGTGCAGGAGCCAGCAGCTCTCCTGCCCTCCCCTCTCCCACTCAGGTCTGCTCCAAAGCCCCTACATGAGAAGTGGGACCCTGGGCCAAAGGCCTCAAGCGCTGCGACGGCTGCTCCTCTGCCACACGCTCCCCGGCCGCGCAAGGAAACTCGCTGTGCCCAAGCCAGGGGGGTGTGAAGTTGCTTCTGGGCACTGTTGGGGCTGGAATTATTCAGGACACCTTCCAGCACCCTCCAGCCCCTAGAACAGACTCCCAGTTGTGTGAGAGATGCCTTTGTGCCCACCACATCTGGTGCAGATGTTCCAAGACAGCTATCTGAGCAGAGTAAATAGCTCTGAATCCCCACATGAACCCGGCTGCTTTCAACTCCATCTGCATGCAGCCTGGCTGGGGCTCAGTGCACCCACCACCACACAGCTCGGAGAAGCTGCTACCCCTCCAGAGGCCAAAGGGAACCAAGCATGAGTGCTCCCCGTGCTCCCACAGATGAAAGGAATCTCTTGGGGAATGAGGCAGGGCTCCTGCAGAAAGAAGGAGGGACACGACAGATTTCCAGCTCTTTAGTGCCAGTGCAACCAGCACCAGCTGCTGCGAGTGGCCACACAACAGTGATCACCCAGGGGCTGCAGAGCACCCTGCACAGCCATCCCAGCCAGAGGGGCCATCCTGCACCACCTCTTGCAGAGCACGCTGCTGCCAGGGCTGAAGTGCCCTAGGTTTGTCTGCATCCCTTCAGCCTGAGACTCCACTGCCTCCACCAGCCCATCCAGCCACATCCCCATCTCCCAGGCCAGAGCCCGAACCACCAGTCAAACCAACACCTTGGCGTGGTGAACCAGCCAAAACTCAGCCACCCTAGATCAGGTCTCAAGAGATCCCCAGAAGCTCATTTATATCACTCCATGTCCACACTATTTTGTGCGATCCCTGTTCAGCAAATTCCTGTTTGTGCAGATCCACTGGCCCAGAACCTGATCTAGCAACTCTAGGGACAGGCCTCACATCACAGTCACCTCAACAGACTCAATTCTCTGCTTTCTTTCACCCAGGAAGACCTTCATAGTTGGTCTCCACTTGATCAGGCAGGTCAGCTGATACCCAAGGCAGCCCAGCCCAGCACGTAAGTCAGCACATGCCAGAGAGTTGCTGCCCTCTTTCCCCCCACGAATCCAATGGTTGGGACAAGAAGGGACAGACACACAAGGTGCTAATCAAAGGTCTCTACAGATCCAAATTGCACAAGCTCAGCCTGGAGGACAGCTCCACTACCCCTCCACTGCTCTTCTCCAATGGTCTCCCAAAGCACAGTAGGTTTATCCTCCTCTCCAACATGCATGATTTTCTGGTGTGTGAGCACAGGGAGGACATGGGCCACCCTTCCCCCTGGCTGGACTAGGTGGACACAAGACTGGTGCGTCTTCAACAGCAGCACTCGCAACTTCCTTGAGCCTCTGGAAACAACAACCCTAGGTGAGATACCCTCCTGGGGCTCCTCTCCACTCCAGGAAAGAAACAACAGCCTGTTTCCACCCAGGGCCATGCAGAGGTGGGGAAAAGGAGACCTTCAGTCTACCTGGTAGGAACAGAAAGGGGCATAAGCTCTGGCTGGAATAAAGACCTTTTCAGAGCACTGGACTTTTCCAGCTGCCTGGAAACAGGAAGCTCCCAGGCTAGAGAACAGAAACCCTCACACACCCTGCATAAAGGCACACTGAGCCGTTAACCCTAATTACCTGTGACTGACACACGAGCGAGGCCCTGACCTTCCAGGCATCGCCTCAGCCAAAGGAAAATAAACAGCTCCCTTCATACGAAACACAAGCCGCTTCCAACACCCCCCTCACTGCTCTGCGCTTTCAGTCCAAAATTAAAGGTGTCTGAAATACAAGGGGAGAACGACCCAGCTGCAGCAGGGAGAGGGGACTGAGCCCAGAGCCTGCCCATATCCACTGTCCCCCAAGAGCCAGCAAGCCCACTGGCATGGCTCAGCCAGCCATGGTCTCCTGACAGCCCCTTCCCCTCGTCCCACAGAAAGGAACGGGCACAGCTCTGTGAGGGTCCTGCCCACCTCCACCAGCAGTGGCCAATGACTCCACAGTATCTCTGGAGGACATGTTGGTGCTGTCCTGCTCCGAAGGAGCTCCTTGGAAACCTGCACTCACTCTGATGTATTTTCCTCCAACTCATCCCTTCAGCAGCCCTAGGAGAGCAGAGGACTCAGATGCTCCCTTGGACACAGATGTTGAGAGGTTGGACACCACAGAGATGGGATTCACTGGGTATGACCCAGAGATCCACAGGGGGCACAGGTCAGACCCTGGCCCAGGGGGGGAGGGAGGAATCCACAACTGAGCCCTGGCCAGGCTCAGACTGAGGAGGACAGGCTGTGCCAGGGCTGTGGGGACACAAGGATCCCTGACAGGTGCCCCCAGGCCCTCTCTGTTCTGTTCAGCACCATTAATTAAATGACTCCTGGGGCAGCACAGCCCCCTTGCTCAAACATCTCCTTCTTCCAGCACACAGAAGTACCTCAGGTTGCTCATGTCTCCCCCTCCTTCCAGGGCCAAGCCTCCCTCCCTCCCCAAGGGCCACAGGCACTCCCTCCTGCTGGTTCTGCCAGGGAAAGGAAAGCAAAGCCTGGAGCAGAAGGCAGAGCTTACCCGGGGGGCAGAGCATCCAGGGCCAGCACTGCTGCTCGCGCCGCCGGGGCACTGGAGCCAGGAGCTGCCTCCTCTGCCTCTCCAGAGCTGGGCAGGGCAGGAGGGGCAGGAGCCACGGAGCCGTCAGCTACGCTCGGTGCCACCGGCGTCGGTACGGCCGCTCCCGCTGCCGGAGCCTCCTCGTCCGTGTCCGCAGAACCCGCTGCATCTCCATTCACTGGGAAGGGAGAGACATTAGGGTGATCTACTGCATCCACACAGCCCCAGAGCAGAGCACGTGGTAGGTGGCAGCCACTTCCACCCAAGCACAGGACTCGTGGTGCTCCAGCCTGCAGCAATGGCAGCACCTCCTTCACCCAGCAGTCAGATCCCTCTGGGAATCTCTGCCCCTTGTCCTAGGACAAAAGCAGAGGGTATTTTGCCTTTGTGCTCAGTATCTCTTCTGCCACTTGCCAGATTTCTGTGTGCCTGATGAGAATGCAGCAGGAGCTCAAAAAAGGTTGGCATACTGTGGTCTTCCCCAGACAGAGGGAAGCTCAGGCTTAGCAAGTCAGCTCTAAACACTGCTGGACTCACTGAGCTCTTAGAAAAGGGAAAGGGAAGAGACAGAGCAAAGGAAAATTACAAAGTGGACTGATAAGGAGGAAAATGCAGACCCAAAAAAGGACAGGTAGTTTGTTAGATGAATATTTCTTAGATAGCTAAAAACCCTGAGACTTGGCAGGCCAGCAGAGGGTAACTTCCACCACAAGACATCCTGGTTTTGGTGCTGACAGCAACCTCCACCAGAGTCCTGCAGGACTCTGCTGAACAGGTCTCTGACTGCTATTCATCTCTAGCAAGCCCTGGAAAGGGCAATTTTAGAATTTTCAACCAAGTTGTGCTAATCTTCAAAGGGAACCTGCAGAATGACCCAGGTAACTACGCTGTGATCGGTTTGATCTCAGTCCAGGACAAAGCAGGGGAAAAGCTGATCCAAAGTTCACCTGATAAGGAAGGGCTCCAGGAGAAACACAGCCAGGGCTAAACAATGTGGGTGTGCAGAAAACACACTGTGAAATAATCTCATTTTATTGTCAGATGAAACTACAGCTGTGAGCAACAAGTAATGAGCACATTGTTGTAACAGTCTGCTAAAAACCAAAATGGTAATGTCACCAAAACTACCAAAGTGATGAGGAAGAGGATGGTTGCTAGAAGTGCTCCACAGAGCACAGGATAGGGTGTTCAACATCATCTCCCCATCCTCAAGTGTAGAGTCACCATGAACAGGACTAGTGGGAGACACAGAGTTTGGTGAGTGGTGAACAGTGACAAGGACAGCATGGTCATAAAGCCACCAGCAAGGCTGGGCAAATAAAATGTGCTTGAAACACACCAGAGCCAAGGACCCAAGTTGTATTCACAGGAGCCAAAACTCTGCCGACAGCCTGAGGGAGTGTCCCCTGCACAGCTGGGTGGGCACAGGGGACACAGTGTGGCTCTCGCTCCTGCTGAGCTGCAGCCCCTGGGAGGGGAGCACAGACCAGGAGCAAGAGCTGAAAGGCAGCATTTCACATCAGCCTTCTGCTGCCCCACCTCCCTCCCAAAATGGCTTCGGCAAAATGGAAATTGCATTGCTCCAGGTTTTTCCAATGAAAAAAAAAAAAAAAAAAAAAAAAAGAATCTTCCTTTGGGGCTGAATAAAACATTTCCTTCTAGCTGGAGCAAAGTGCTCTGCTTCTCCTTGCAGGTCTTGGGTAAAAGCAAAAGAAGCAAAGGGGCTGCCTGCAAGAGCCCTGCAGGGAGCAGGAGATGCTTGGCTGGCTCCATGAGAGCCAGAGGGGGAAAACAGATAAACCACTTGTAACTTCATGGTCAGGCACTCAGCAGGTCCCAGTCCCTGCTCTACTTGGCATTTATGGCTTTGTGGACAAGCCCAAGAAAGGACAAGAAAAAACCTTCCAGAAATACCCTCTGGCCTAAGACTCAGCCACCTTGTGAGAGGTGAGTTTGTGCCTCCTCTGATGCTTGATGAAGAGATACTCCTCCTGCGTCGCTGGGCAAAGAGCTCAAAACATTTTCATTGAAGACTGATGAGCAAAATCAGCTGAATGCTCCCAACCCTAAAAAAAGTCTACCCAGCTGTGGTGTCTGTCCTTCTTGTGGCATCAGTGACATTACTGCCCCAGTGTACTTTAAAAAACCTGGAGCTGGATGCAGCATTTTGGTCAGCGAGACTCCAGAAAGGAGCCACAGAAACCATTCATGATAAGCAGACCAGAGGAGTGCACTCTGCAGAGCTGCCAGGCCTATCAAAAAGAAAATCAGTCATAATCAATTCACAGGGAGGAAGTTCCCAGGCACTATAAGATCCATTATCTAAGCAGAATTCCATTTTCTCCCACAAAACTCAGCCCTGAGGTCCATCTCCCCCCCAGGCATGGTGGCTCACCTGTGCCGTTGTGCTGCGCGCCCTTGGCCTGCTGCCAGTGCCGGCTCCTGGCACTGGGACTTTGCTCTCCACTCCCTGTGTTCTGCCTGGCCACTCCAGCTGCATGTCGGTGTGTCCTGCAAGGGAAATAAACACAGAAGGTGAGACACACCACTGGCCTGGCAGAGAAAACTCCACTCCTGCCCTTCTGCCTTGGTCTTGTTTCTCACCAAGCACAACCATCAGTCTCCCCCAGGAGCAGCCAGGATGCAGCCACGTGCCTCTGCTCCTCTGGCAGAGCCCTGAACTTCATGCTGCTTCCTGGGACCTGCCAGCCTGTCCAAGGGTCCTGGCATCTGCCTGCTGGTGGCAGAGTCCCATGAAGGAGTAACCTGGGTGACAATGACCTTGTTTGTGTTTGTAGGTGCTCAGCCTGGCCACCTGGGCACTCACCAAGCTTCCACAGCCCCTGGCTCCATCCACCTCTGCAAGTAAAATTCCCAGGAAAGACCCCCCACCAGCCCTGCCCAGCTACCAGCCCTTCACCAAAGTGGGTGAGGAAAGTGCACGTGTCCCTTGCTGCAGTTACAGTGGGGAGAGCTATGGCATCTGGCAAAGGAGGAAATAAGCAGCTGGGAAAGATGGGAGCCTAAGTCATGGATCAGGTTGTGACCAGCTCAGATGTGCTGCTCCATCTCTCAGAAGAGTCTCCTCTTTGTGCCACGCTTGAACTCTCTTGCCACCACCTCTCTGTGGCCCCCAGGCAAACACTTCTCCAACTGCCCTGGGGCAGCCCGAAGGCACTGGAGCACCAGCTGGGCTTTCAGGTTAAAAGAAGCCTGGTCATCCCTGCAAATGGGGAGGAGGACAGGGCAGAAGGGGAGGGGAACAGGGCAGGAGGGAAGGGGGATGAGCAGAGGCAGAGCTCAGCCACCTCCGCTGGGATCCCAGCCTGGGGCAGTGACTGCAAAGAGGGAGGACTGCAGGGATTAGGAAGTCACTTTGTCCCAGCCAAGTTCTGCCCTTAAAAGGGCAAAACCCACGAACTGTCCCCAGGACTCAGGGCTGGAGGTGGGAGGGCACAGCAGCAGTCATGCCACCCTCACCAGCTCCAGCAAACCTCAGTTCCTCCCACTGCTCCAAGGCTGCTCTCTTTGGGGAGGGGCTCCTGACAGCAGGCAGAGGAAGGGCTGGGATCGGCAGGAGACATGGGAAAGCAGGAGATGGTGGTTCAAAATAGATCAGATAAGAGCCAGAAGAGCAGCCCTCAAGCAGGAGCTTCTGAGGTGTCTTTGACCAGCCACAGACAATCTCAGGAGGACAAGGCCTGCACAGGGCATCCCCAAGGGACTTCTCAGATGGTGAACTTGCCCAGAAACCCCAGCTACCCCCAGCACCCCACTACGTGCTGGGGTAGGCCACCAGAACCTGGGGATCTGGAGCAGCTCTGGGTATGGAACAGGCTCCTCTTCCTGCAGTGGAGAGGTGAGGGTTGCCCCTCACTGCACCTCCACGGGGCTCAGCAGGGCACATGGCACGACACACCTCCCAGAAGTTGGGCAGGACCCACCTCCCCACATTCACCTCATGGCAGGGCCAGCACAGCCCTCAGAGCCCTGCCCAGAGGAGAAGGGGCAGGTGGAACCACCAGATCATCCCCCAAGGCAGGGGACGAACCTGGTCCCTGCCCTTGTCAGCACAGATGAGCTCAGAGCTGCCCGAAGAGTTTTTAGAAACCAAAACAGGATGTTTCCAGGCTGCCAGCTGGCCACACGGGGTTACCAGGCCTGAATTAGCCAACCCGCCGCCCAGCCCAGCCCTCCCACGAGTGCTCCCATCTGGGCATTGTCTTTTAATAGACGCGTGGAAACAAACCCAGCAAGCCCATGTGAGAGCGGCGGGGCTGGGAACGTGTTTAAAATACGAGCAGGGAGAAAACAAGCCACAGCATGGATGGGGACAGCCTCTCACAGCCATGCTGGTGGCAGCTCAGCTCCCAGGCAGGGCCCCCGCTGTCCCTCATCCTTCAGGGGACTTGGGTGGCTGCCCCATCGTGTGCTCTGCCTCATCACCTCTCCTGGGCTGGAGGCAGAGGGAGCAGACAGTGCTGAATAGGAAAGTGGCATCAGACAGGGTGACATCAACTCTTCAGCTCCCTCCCATCTGCCAGGGCAGAGCCCCCACACTGCAGGGGGTGACATGGGTCCTGGGCATGAAACCTAGAACAGCCACCTCCTCCTGCCGAGGTGGCCAGAAAGGCCCTGGCAGGAGATGCCAGCAGAGGTGGCAGCACTGCCCTCTGCCCCAGACCAGATCACAAACTGCAGCTGAAGAGGAGGGAGGGGAGAGCTTAGGCCAGGAGTCAGGGTATGACTACTGGGAAACACAACCAGAAGAGCCCCAGGGCCATGTGTGCAGGGAGCTTAGCTCATGAAAGACAGAGCTGAGAAATTCCCTCTGCCCCTGTGAGGAGAGGAGGCAGGCACATCCCCCTGCACCCAGCCCTCCAGTCTGCAGAGCCAGGAGCAGAGACTGCACCTTGTCCCAGCACCCTGGGGCTGGGGTAGCAGGACACAGAGAAAGCAGCTCTGGCAAGTGGCTCTGAAACCCTGAACCCCATTTATTCCCGTTACACGTTCCAGCAGACTCCAGACCCACCACAGTGCTTGCCCTACATGGCCCAGAGCAGCTCCCAGGCTCCTCTGGGGCAAAAGGCAGCAACCCCCTCAGGCAGCACAGCTGGTTCTCCCTTGCCCAAGCCAGGACTGCAATCAGCCATCACAGCTCCCCCCACCTTTCCCTGCTACTGTGTCACACCAGAAACCACATCCCTGGGGACACCCTGATGCCACACAAGGGGCTTTGCAGAGTGAGGGGTCTCACAAAGGGAGATAAGTGACCCAGAGGAGCATCTCCCACCTGCCCTCAGCATCTCACACCTGTCGTGAGCCTAGTGGTGACTTGTGAATACCAGGCAGGGCAAGCACAGCACACTGCACTGAAAAAAACACTGAGTCTGCATCAGCTCGTGGCAGGTGACAGCAGCTTCTCATGGCCATGCTCAGATCACCATACCTGACACGACTCTCCTACCAGAGCCTTCCCGCAGGACAAGCAGCAACCCAGGCCCCTCCATTCCCTGCTGCCAGAGGAGGCCCCTTTGGCCACCACAAGACAAACGGGGATTGTGGCAACTCTCTTGGCACCCACAGCACCAGGTCTCAGGCAGGGACCTCTGGGCTCTGTTTTCTCTCGGCAGAGGGCTGTGGAATTTCACACCCCGTCACCAAGATTAGCAGCAAATCCCAAGAGGACATTTGTTCAGAAGAAAGAGAAGCCCTGACCAAGCAGTTTCCCTCGAGGGGACAGCGTAGAAATAGCTGAGGAGCAAAGAATGACCCTTTTCTTTCCATCCTGCCTGTGAGCAAGTTTGCCAGCATCCATCACCAAGCCCATGAAAATAAACACAGCTCTGCATATAAACACAGCAGACATCAAACAGCATTCCCAAGTGCAAAGGACCCGTACCCTGCTCCAGAGAAGGCAGCTGCCTCTGTGGTGGGTACATACAGCAATCCTCTGCCCCACACATCAAACTGTGGACTTAAGTCCAGAACAACCCTAAACTCAGGTGAGAACAGGATCCATTGAAAAGAAGCTAGAACATTTCTTGTACCAGAACAATTGCAAGCACATCTGAAGGTCTCCAAAGGTCCCCAGCAGAGCTACTGGCCAGACTTCACCACGCTCATGTCACACACTCACAGGTCCGGACACCACCAGAAGAAGGAATCAGGCATCAGAAAGCAGCCAGGAATCAGAGGTAAGCAGACACACTCAGTCACCAGCTGAGCCTCCCAAACCAGAACTTTCTTTGCAGGCTTTCTACTACCACCCAACAGCTGCTAAGTGGCTGCAAAGTCCAGCTCAGGACACTGAGCACTCTCACCCCCAAGAAGGCTCTTC